ATATCTATTAGTCTTTAAGGTCTATAAAAAAATTACATTTTTGTATTATACAAAATAAAAATAACTTGACAATAAATTTACACGCGCGTAGCGCATGTTTAACTATAACTAAGTACGAATGTAATAATAGTTTTAGTAAAATTTTTTGAAATATTATTTGATTTATAAAAATCTATTAGCTATACAAAAAGTTCCCAAAATTAAGTGTAGAAAAAAAATATATACAGAATGCCCCACTGTGATTTATTAATTTGACTATATAAACTATAATTAAAATTAGTAATCACAGACACTCTACATATATACATATATATATAATTTTAAATTAAGACGGCAATAATACATTTTAACAATTTAATAACCTAGTACAATAATTGGTTATCTTGACTTTTTTCAAAATTTACATTTTCATATTTCCTGATAGAGAGCAATTTTTTCAACTGTTCGATATAATCACTGAGCACAGTCACCCTCTAGAAAATCAAATATTGTAATTTAGAGATGCCTAATATTCAGATTTTAGTACTAAAGTAAGTTATTTGTGTCTATTGAACAATTTCACAAAATAAGGAAATAGCCGTTTATTACATTGATTCTTTCAATTATCGTTTAAGAGAACAGTGGCAAATCCTAAGAACATCGCAACGTTCTCGCTTCTTGAACTATTATCACATACTTAATAAAAAGTATTTTGAATGATAAAATTGGCAAAAAATTGGTTTTAATATCTTTAAGCGACACTCTTTGAAAAAATGTTGTATCCACATCTGATTAAAAGAGACTTAAGGAGTTTTAATTTCCCATAAAAAAGTACATCATTGTATTATTTTGTTAGAAGATTAAATTTGTATATCAATTGTCCTAATATATTTAATTTAATTTTAAAACAATAGGTATGTTGTGCATTATTTAGCTTCGATGTGAGGCTGAGACGGTATTAATTTTACTATGATGATTTTTTTTTTGTGTTTGTTACCACTTTTTCTTAGCTCTCACCGAACCGAAATCTTTCAATAATACGTTAAAAGATCACAAATCGTATCTAGTCGAAAACATAACCCTCAAAAATTGAAAACATTTCCCTTGTTCCCCGTAAATGGGGAAAATATTCAAAAAATTACAAATTTAAAAATCGGTAATTTTCGACATTTTTTCATTTTTTTTTATTGAAAACTGCCATAACTTTTTTAATAATGACCAAATCAATATAATTTTTTTTTTTTAGATACATGAGGTAGTTACCTATTATTCTGTTTATATTTTTATAAATCTAACCCTTTATCTACCCACAGAGGGGATTCAAAATAACAACTTTTTAAAAGTATTCCGGAACTACTGACACTTTTATAGATATCTTAAATTAAAACTAATATAATATACTGCATTATGAAAAAAAAAATTTTCAGATTATATTTCGTCTTCATGGTGAAAATGGCTACCGTATGCTATTTTTGAATTAAAATTGTCGATTTTATATTTTACATTATCAACTTTATATTTCTATAATTTTTTGAAAAATCTATGGATAAATACAATTTTTTTATGAGAAATACTATTTATTTTCATTCGACATACTTTTTTTTTAAATCGGATCATTTTCATTTATACGGGAAGGGTTCAAAACCTAAAAATGTTTATAGAAAAAAGAACTTTTTAAACTTAATTTTCGAAAATGTTCCGAAAATACTGATACTTTTCTATATTTATACTTAAAGCTTATGTAATATACTTAAATATGAAAAAAAAAAATTTCGAACTTTATTTTGTTTTTATGGTGAAAACGACACATCAAAGTTATGAAAAAATACGATTTTTGTAAAAAATTACAATATTAAATTATTAAATATCCATTTCATAATAATTTTAATTGCTATGATAAATTTATTTATTTATTTATATATTACACTTATAAATCATAAAACTTGTAATCAGAATATAAATAAGGAAATAGGACATCATGTTGCTTTTGGAATAAACCACCAATTGTTTTAAATTAAACGCTATCTACAGATTTTCATCGAATTGTTTTTTATAATAGTGATTTTAATCACTGTCAGATTAAATCTATA